AGATATTTTTTTTTATTTTGTGGAAATTGTGTTTTATAACCACATTTATTTCTTGCATCGTGTTTTTTTATTTTTTTTGTAGAGCTATTTCTTATGGTACAACAACCCTGGAAGAATGCACGATCGTTCTTCAAATATCAACGTAAGTTTCTCTTTGATTGTTTCACTCGATAGCAGTAAGGATCACAAGCCAAACAACTTTTTTGTACCTCTACATTGTTTTTTTTTAATGATTTACCTGATATCCTCGTTTCTTATCTTTTCGCACACTCGCACTTCTTGCAGAGACGAATAAAAGAAGCAGAAGAAAAGTCGCGCTGGAAGAAGTGTACCAAGGGCTGCTGCAAGTGCGGCGGGTGCTGCGCCCTCATTACACTCTGCAATGTCTGCAAGTGTTCAGTTTTAGTAATTACTCTTTTGGCCGTTTCGACCACATTGGTATTTTTCTACTGGAAAAGCGCCCATTCAACCAACGCCAAGAGTGAGACTACATCTATGGCTGACGACAATGCCAGCATCCATCGTACTAAACGCGCGAAAGAAATGGTGGTTCATCTGTACCTGCAGTCGGTGAACACCCAGAAAGACCCTTGCCGAGACTTCTACAGCTACGTTTGCAACGGATTTGGTCATCCCAGAAAAACTAACGTCATAGACAGTGTGAACAGTTGGGTCTCCCGCAAGGTTCATAAAAAGTTCATGGAGGTCAGCGCTACGAGAGAGCATCGTAAATCTGCAAGACATAAAGCCCGCAGGTTCTACGACAGCTGCGTTTCCAGAACACTAAGGATTAACAAAAAGGGAAACCGCGATGCGCTCATCAGCTTTATGAAAAAGGCCAAGCTCTCCTTGAAGGACGAGTACACATGCGATCTTTTGGACAGGTCACTGATGCTTGTTCTCCGGTACAACATACAAGTGTTCTTTGGACTAGGGGTCGCTAGCCGGGGATCGTCAGCTGACGATGATAAACTGACAGTTCTGCATCTGATTCCAAGCACTGAGATGGCTCGCTGGAGAGAGATACGGTGGTGGTACGTCGCGAACGGGGGCGAATACAACCATCTGGTTCGGGAGGTCCTTCAAGCCTCTACTACTGTTGTTGACAATGAAACAGACGGGCTTATCAGTGCTGTAAAAGCCGCTGAGGCGAAAGTATTTGATATATGGAGCACTGAGCTGTCGCCTGACTATGCAGATTTAGCACGTCACTACGCCGAGAATTGGACGAGACCTTTAAAGAAGCATAGTAATGGCCGCCTAATTGGCAATTATGCTGTCAACTTCCTCACCAAGGAGTTTTTGGTATTTCATAAAACCGCCTCTAACTTGAGTTCGTTCGAAGCAAAAGTTTATTTGATCTGGGAGGTAAGCAGACAATTGGCGTCTATCTCCGGACTTCTGCATACCGAGTCCAAGAGCCAAACAAAAGATTTCTGCTACGCCACCACAATGTATTTGTACAAGGATGCCGTGATCTTGCCGTTCATGATTTCCGTGATGGACAGAAAGAGGGTGTCTGGAATCCAGGCTATGGCAAAAAATATTCAGGACCATATTGTGAGCAGTATCAGAAGATTACATTACCCCAATAGGTCCTATACCAAAGCCGAACTTACGAAAATAGTTAAGACACTACGCTTTAACTTTGGTTACCCTTTCACAAAAAAAGACAGCTCTAAAATTATCAACGAGCACTTCAAGAGATACACGAACATCCGGGGCCCGTTCCTGGCGTCGTTCCTGGCCGCATCGAAGGCCTATGCTTTGCAGTTCATCAGGGCCGTCACACGTAAAGTGCGAAAGCCAAGCTACCCCGATTTCGACAGCGTCTCCATCGGATCCTTCTACCAAGCTCCAAACACTATGCACGTAACTGCAGCTTCCATGCTAGAGCCACTTTTTCATTCTGAGGATTCTCCAGAAATTAACTATGGTGCACTCGGTTCTATCCTGTCCCACGAAGTTGTGCGCTCCTTCATCGGCGATGCCAAGATCGCCGAAGGAAACGGGGCTTTTCTGGACTGGACTAAAAATATTGCAGTCGCCAACTTGTCTTGTCATGCCGAGACTGCCGAGAGCTCGGGTACAAGGGACGCCGAGTGGCGATTGTTCCTGTACGATTCGATGGCGTCGCAAGCATTGTTTAAGGCTTACAAGGCAGCCGCGTCAAGGTCTTTGGTCCGCGTTGGCGGACTCGAAGATTTCACCAGAGACCAGCTGTTCTTCATCAGCCGTTGCTTCTACACGTGCGCCTCTAAACCGCACACACGAAAAACAAAGTCCCTGGAGCAGCGTCGCTGCAACTTTGCTGTTCGCAACATGCCCCAGTTTGCACGGGCTTTCGGGTGCCGCAATGGAGCACCCCTGAATCCCAAACAGAGGTGTAGGGTTTGGTAGAAGCTGCGTGTCCACGGAGTATTCTGAGGCAATTTTACCCTCTTTAATTTGGAAGGTCAAGCTAAACTGCAGAAATAAAAATAAAAAGAAAGCACCGATTAATATGTTTCAAACGTATCCATGTAAAATATCATAAATACATATTCTAACTTCTCCACTGACGTGTTACTTGTTTCTCCGCGCTATTACGAAACATAGCAGGAGATCGCCATGAGAGTGTTAGACCGATAGCCGCAATGAACGGTTCAAATTTGAAAATTGTTGCTCACGAGTCACAAATTAAACTAGATGCGCGCAGCAAATTATTGTAAAAACACGCCCCGCCAATCCTCTCACCTGCTCCAACCCAACAAAATACACCGCTCCTGCTTATGGCGAAATAACCCAAATTTACCGATATTTCGTCCATAAAGGAAAGCGCCGATGGAGTTAACATGCACCTGACCCGCTACACGCGAGCGTCGAAATCCGGCAACCGGTGCTTTCGTTTCGGCCAAAATACGATGCCGGTAACGCGTCTTCGAATGGTGTACCGCAGCTGGTGCCGGAAGTCGCAACAAATGACGTCACAAAAGCCGGAGTGTCACGCTGTCAGATCAGTAGCGGATCCAAAAGGGGGGGGGGGGCGATGGGGGCGGCCGCCCCCCCCCCCCCCCCCCCCAAACAAGGTGACCCCCTCCCCCCCTTCTCGGAGGGCAATTTGACAAGGGTGGACCCCCGGTGCACACGAAAGAATGGGAGAATAGTGTCCTTACAAATTGACGTTATCATATCCCCCGTTCACGCTTATTAAGCGTGGATGGGGGATATGATGACGTCAATTTCGTTGCGTGTGCTCGCGCACATCGGCGGCTGCTGACTCACGGAAAGATAGTGCGCCACTTATTATAGACACTGAAATGTTCGCTTCAGTATCCCTTTAAAGTGATAATAATGTTTGGCTCAATGTTGGCGCAAATTTCTCACATTTTGGTAAAATGTAGCAGGATGCAGTAGAGTACAGGTATGTTGGCGCAGCTTTGGCTCAAATGGCGCAGCAATCATATCACTGCGTGCCATAACAAGCAAGAGCATCTGGCACGTCCCAAGGGGGGACTGAGGATTAGTTTCGACTACCTTTAAATCTCTTGGAGCGCAACCGAAATCTCGATTCCTTGGCACCGTCTCTAAAATGAGCCCCCGTAAAATTTCGGGCACCTCGGCAGTGATTCGAGCCCGCCTACTGGGGATGCGTAGGGCGACACTTCGCCTTGTTGGTCACCTGCAGGCTGCGCGTCTCAGTCATGTTCATTAGTGATTAGACCAAGCTCCGGGTGATTCAACTATGCTTACTTAGTATGTATGCGGCAAGGCAGTGCAATTTCGTTTCTTTCAGTGAAGGGGGCGGAAACTGGCTAACTGTTTAAGTTTCTATGTATGTTCTAGATACCACTATATTACATGCTGTAACTTATTCCCCGTCTTTTCGTGCGCTATGACCGCCATTTTATTCGTGTACTGCGCTGAGCCCACCGGCGAAAGCATTTCGTTCGATGCAATAGTTCTCGTTCATCATATTATAAAACAATTATCTTCCCTTATAATCTAATATAAATAATAAAATTGATGTTGACTCAGAACAGTAGACCGATCTCACCAGCCAGTTTGACTACGCCACCGCTGCCGCAATGCATCGAGGGAACTTTAGTCTTTCTGCACACGCGACAACCTCGCTGGAGCTCTGCGCGTGTGGAGCACGAAACGGCACGAGCCCTAGCAAACACGGCCGTCTGCGTCTTGCGAACTAAAGTTATGGCGGTGTCACGCATGCGCCGAACGCTTAGTGAGATCGGTCTATTGGCTACGGAGTGTGCATCGTATTTAAGACAGCTGTTTACTTCATTTATACCGTTCACATACGACTATTCATTATACATATGTGTAGGAACGTATGTGCATGCTTGTAAATGTCTACTCCTGGCTTGGCCCTTAACCGGGTTGGCAGTATTGTGGAATATAATAACATGTTGTGTCGTATTTATACAGGGCGATTCTCGAAACGTGAGCCATAAGCCATAAGCGCGAAACATAAGAAGCTCAGACTGTACCTTTTTTTTTGGCAGGATAGCGTAGGAGAGCGACTGCGGAAGGAGCCGATGCATGAGGAAGCAGCTGGGCTCCGAACTGCGCTTTGTGCTCAGTATAGACCCTTTCGCATGTGTAAGAACATGAACCGCTGCTTGGCGTCCCGAGTGACTTGCGGTCGCTCCGTCTTTGAGAGGCTGTCGAGCTTGCTTATGTTACCTGTGCTAGAAAGCATCAATGCGACACGGACAACGGAGTTTGAGATACACGTTGGTTTACAAGAATATTCGAAACATTTGAACGGATCTCGCATTTCTTGGTTCTTTCGGCTTTCGTCTGGAGAGGTGGAGGTTAGATGTTTCATCGACGTTTCAAGCAGCAGTGTTAAGGTGGGCTCTGTTCATTCTTTTTCATGAACCGGGAGTTCCTTGGGACGTCAAAGACTGGAGTACCACCTGGTGGCAATTGCAAAGAAAAGGGTCTATACAATATGTGCTCCCCGCTCTTCATCAGCATGATCACGCTTGTGTAAATGTTTCACCGAAGGTTCAGTGTCGCCATAGCTGGCTCCGCGATGTCACTGCAGGCAGTAAGGGGAGGTGGCTCGGGTCCTCAGGAGTTGCATTCCCCGACCGAGTGAGTTCCGGCTCCGGTAGCCCATCTCTCCCTGCCGGCGTCCGCCAGGGGCGCACTGGTTCTTCAAGAAGAATTCTCGACCCCCGATGCACGCGTGAGACTTGAATCTGCAGCCCGTGTCCTGTAGGGACTCGAGGAACAGAACCGGGGCTCGCTTGTGGTGGCACATCACGCCTGGAGGACAAGTCAAGTCCATCGTAAAATCAATGCAATAAATTTATCACTCATGCTTATTTCCCCAGACCGCTTACATTTATGTTGCTCTTCTTGCGTGTTTCAAGGCAGTAAAATTATTTTTCAACGCCCCCCGCACCGACGCCGCGCCTTATGCCGTATATCTTCGTACCGCTATATGACACGCAAAGTCAGTGCTTGGAGGCATTAAAAAAATATTTTACTGTCTTGAAACACGCACGGAGAGCAACATAATTGTAAGAGGTCTGGGTAATTGAGCATGAGTGATAAGTTTATTGCTTGCACAGTGCCAAAGACGCTCATATTGGCCGAGGAACGCTTTCAGTACGACGATGCTCCATAGCGATCTTGGTGCGACTGGTTTTAACGACCCCTTCGAAGCTTCGAAGCCTAGAAAGGGTGGCGATCACCATGGTAACCGACAGCGATAAGCCAATCACTTTGAGAGATTTGCTCGTTTGTACGTTGTTATTTGTTTGTGTTGGTCTAGCAGGTGGGAAGGCAATGGCGCTACTTTCCCAGGTCCAGTGACTCGTTCATACAGACCCGCAAACTAATGAAGACACCGAACTCTGGACACCTACCGTCATCTATGAGCGACGGCGGCAAGCTACGTATCTGGTTTCCGCCGTCGCTAATAGATGGCGGCAGCCTTGCAACTCTGGCCTGCCGACTTGCGGCCGGCCATTACTTTCCATTGAACAGCTACGCTGATCTTCCTTTTTTTACGTTACGTTACGAAAAGTCACCGGGAAATCTGTGCTTCGTATTTAGCGTGGCTACCAATTCAAGGAGATAGCCTGGCACGCGACACTCGAGACACGAATGTTTCGGTGATTTAGACGTATACGTAAGAAAACGGAGCTGTGTGAAAAGGTGAACCGAGCTCAACTCCTTACCGTATACGTTACGACTACCGTGGTTACGACTAAAGGTTACGACGAGCCTTGTGTCCTTGGTTGCCGCAGTAACTCACCGTCCTAGCTCGTTGTCACCGAGACATTCGTGTCTCGAATATCGCGTTGTGTTGGTAGCCACGCTTAATACGAAGCACAGATTTCCAGGTGACTTTTCGTAACGTAACGTGAGAAAACGGGTCTGTGTGAACGAGCCTTTAGTCCGAATGACGCCAAGGCCTGTGTGCGTCTTAGTGCCAATTACCATAAACAGGAATGTTATACGGCCTGCAAGGTCATCTGTTTGTTGCGCACGCCTCGCGCGTTTTATTTTTTATTTTTTTACCCCTTTGCCGACGCAGGCGTGATTTTGTTTCTCCCCGAGCTCAACCAACGACGGTGCGCGCTTGGTTGCCTCGTCATCGCGCCTTCTCTACGCGTTTTCCGCGTTGTCCTCTCATTGTCATATCTGCTCTTCCTTGCGTTCCGATGCGTGAAAAGAGACGCATTTTGGAACATTCGCTTGCCGTATATTACTCTAGAAATATCCGGCGCGTCTGCTTTCCCTCAAAGCACTTGAGAAAGCAAGTCTCTGCAATCTACGAAGTAAATTCAGACCCCCCAAAAAATGCAGCCAGCTTTGTTACAGTGAGCACGACGAAGCATGTGGAACGACATGTCCAGTATCGCAAAGCGACAGTTTATTTATTTATATTTTTCTCAGAGCGCAGTTTTTTAGCCGTCCGTTTCCGCGTATAGCGGCGTCGCCGTCGCCGTCGGGGTAACCGCGCACGTTGCATTATGGGACGTCAGGGACCTACACACCAATTCGATTCCCCGCTAAATTTAGCGGAGAAACTGAATTTCTATGTAGGTCTGTGACGCCCCATAATGCAACACTGCGCATTTAGTTTCCCCGCTTAATTTAGCGGTAAAACTGACGTCACATGACCTCAACACCGATTCAGTTAAACCCGCTACATTTAGCGGGGAACCGAATTGGTGTTGGGGTCACGTGACGTCAAGTTTCCCGCTAATTCGAGGAGAGAAACTGAATTTGTTCATGGGTGACGTGACACGAAGTTACGTGACGTCATTTGCCCCTCTAAATTGAGGGGGAAGCTGAATTGGGTGTTGAGGTTACGTGGCGTCAATTTTCCAGCTAAATTAAGTGGGGAAGGAGAACGGAGGAAAGAGGGGAGGAGAGGAGGAGGGGAGGGGGACGAGGTGTATCGCAAAATCCCAATATACCTCAACAGCTGCGCTCTTATTTCGCATTACAGGAATTTGTAAACGTCTTTGATTTTCTTATCTAAGGATAATTTTAGCCGCGTCATTCGCTGAGATCTTTCCGTAGATTGTGGCGACTGAATCTCCCAAGTGCTTTGGATAGAAAGTAGGCGCGCTAGATTTCTTAAGCCGCGCCCACACTGCTCATACACCTTACAAAAGACAGACACTGGCTGAGGTCTTACTGGTATGACGGTCCCATCGGCCATGCAAAAACTGTTTGCAGATATGTATGAAGCACACGTGCTTCAGAGACGCTTGAGGCGGATTATTCTCTCATCGTCTCTGCAGGCAAACTCTGTGTCTTCTGTGTGATGTCCGAGCGGTGTGACCCCCCGGCTTTGGAAGTTTTCTGGTGGCGATGATTGATATCGAGAGCTTACCGCTCACCGAAGGGCAACCCGGCTGCCTCCTGCCCCCGTTCGGGTAGAAGTCGACGTGCCCGAAAGGCCTGTCCGTGCCGAGCTCCCCCTCCAGGATGCTGGACCCTCCGCTGGTGTGGATGACGTCCACAAACTCGGCGTCCTTCCGGGAAACGTGAACGCTCGTGTTCTCAAACAGCGGTCCTGTCGCGTCCAGTGCTGCGTGATCGGCCGTTAAAACGTGACTGAACCGTGTTCTTAGAAAAAAGGACGGTTGTCGCGACGCGCGAACGACTCTCCAATTCCCAGGTGACCCGAAAGAAGCCAAAACAGAACGAGGCGCGGTCTAAACTTCTGTCAAATATATGCATTGTACTGGACCACGGCATTACTGAATCTTAAAGTCTGTGCTTTAAAACGAATCATGTGTTCAGGAGATGGCCATCGTTGCGCTTTTCTCACTCAGGTCATGGGAGACGTCAATTAACAAAACATATAACTTCGAGAACGCCAAAAGCACAACGTGGTATTTGGTACGCTATTTGAAACAAAATCAACAACGTTTTGTAATAGTATACGTATTCTCACAAGTTATAAGGGGATGAAGTCTGACACAACAAAGTCCTTGTATTGACTCGCCATGGCTGTGCTTAGAGGGACACTGACAGTGTATTTACGCTCGCCAAAGTTTTTATCTGTAAATGACATATGAGAGCCCGGCTTCCCAAAACAGAATTTGCGGCTCCAAATTCGTTTTTTCTTTCCTCCCGAAAATTGCCGATCGTAAACTGGCCGGTTTCAGTTGCACTCACTCTCTTCTTCGCGGTCAAGTGACGTTCAGACACACGTACCAAATATAATCAAAGTCGTGATAATCGAAAACGCACACTCAATATATTAAAAAAACGAAACCCATTTTTCGTGCTTTTTAAAAAGCTGCAGACACGTTAATTGAAAAAGAAAAAAAAATTGCAGAGTACCAGAAGTACATGTACTGCGTAGTTCTCAACATGGCGTCATCGCTAGAGTCGCGGGATGAACCGCTGGACGATGCGGACTAGCGATGGCAGCGGACGACGGGCGTGGTACCTTTACTTTAGAACTGTCATTCGCGGTATCGGCAAATCTGTCTAGATCAAAAAGAGAAATGTTTTACTGATCAAAACAATTTGGATTTATTCATCGGGACAGGCCCGACCCGACCACCAAGCTGATTCGCACGAAGACGTCGCCGAGACGTCGCCCCTTCTCCTGGTTGAAGACATCACTCATCTTACGCCCACAAATTGGTAAGAGCATAAAAAAAAACAAAAAAAAAACCGCGCAAACGCCAAACACTTTGTGGTTGACGTTCGCGCGTTTTTGTCCGCTTTGCACAACCAAAAAAAAAAAAAGAAAGAAAAAAAAAAAAAAAAACGTGGTCTGGTGTAGTTACGTGACTTCTATCAACTCTCTCCTCTACATTTCTCCCTCCTCCCCAGTCCACATGTCGCGGCCATTAACCCCGTACTCATCTTTCAGTTACGGTTTCAAGCAGTTGCGTTTTTTTTTTTCGTTTTTTTTTACGTTATTAAAAATATGCGCGATATATAGTGAAATATTGATTGGTTAGTCTTCTAAAACCATAATAAATCGATTGAAAAGAAATTGTGTGTGTTCATTTCTAATCGATACCGAGCCCCAGTTGTCCTCTGCAGGCATAAGAACTGCGGCAGAAGCAGTCGTCGGTCGTCGGTCATTACTTGAGCACTCAAGACCAGACCACCCACTGTGACATTATACGGAGAGACAGTGAGAAAGAAAGACAGAGAGAGAGAGATAGAAGGAGATGGGGAGTGCGCGTGTGCGTCAGAGCGAGTTCTGATTGGGTGATTCATGAGTAGACGCAAATTCTGGTTGTCTTTGCCTCTGTTTTCTGTTTCCCTCCCGTCGGAGAAAAGCATCGTCTGCTCTTCGTGCAAGGTCTGGCGTTCGAAACGCCAGACCCTGCACGTATACCTCGAACTCTCCCTTCTTCTCTCAACTTCGCCATTTCAGTACAAGCAGCTGCCCCTCACCCGTGATCCTTCCAATGAGTTCCCCGGTCCTCTTCTTGAAGTACCTTCCAAAGAAACCGGCCACGTGTGCACCGATGCTGAAACCGACCAGGTGCAATCTGGACGGTGTTACCGTGTCGGGAAACTTCCGCTTCAGGTTTCTCACCAACACAAATAACTGCCTCGCCACCATCGCGGTGTTGGCTACGGCGGCCAGGTAGTGTGGCTTCCGCGCCCCTTTGCGCCAGTCCGCAACGAGGACATTGCAATCCACCTTTTGGAAAAAAGAATAGCAGTCAGAGAAAAAAAATTAAAGATGTTTACAATGCCCTGTAATGCCCAATTAGAGCGCAGCTATTGAGGAGGAGGAGGGGAGGGTACGGAGAGGGTATGCCCCTCTTCCTCCTCCGTACCCTCTTCTCCCCTTCCCCTCCTCTCATTCTCCTCCCCTCCTCCTCCCACTTTCTCCATTCTCCCTCGCGACGTCACTCGTGACCCCAGCGACTCTCGTGACGTCACTCGTGAAGGCCTCGTGAAAGTCGTGACCTTCACTGTGAAGGTCGCGACCTTCGTCGTGACCTTCACGAGTGACCCTAGTGACGTCACCCGTGACCCTCGTGACGTCACGTGTGACGTCTTTATGGGAACGGCTTGAGCGGCGTTATGGGAGCGGCTTGAACGGCGTTCGCCGACGGCGACGGGACGCCGCTGAAGCCGGAAAGGGGTGACTAAGAGCTACGCTCTAAAACAAAGGTAGTGGCCGTGGGTATTGAATGATGTGATGACGGATCACTATAGTCATTGAATGCTTAAGAAACGCAGGGTGTGGTTTCAGGCATATTATTATTGGAGCCGATAGGATTGCGGCACCAGACGATATATGAACACCCAAGCAAGAAGCGTGAACATAATAAGCCCTGCGTTCCTAAAACTGTCAGTGACCAGTCACTAAATGGTGTGGCTGAGGGACGGACAGGCTGGAAACTGGGTTTGGGATATACGATGACGATGTTTTCATGGGACATGATTCGATGGTATCGTTGGAAGGTAAGTCCCGAATGTCTCCGCCGCACGAGTCCGAGGGTCCCGCTTATGCCCGCGGTGACGTATGACCTTGCGTCACCTACGGGATCCTAGTGTGATTAAAGGTGGCTGTCGGCATCAATGAAAACGAGGTCCAACAGCCCCTGTCATTGGCCCGGAGGTTTTTGGCTTTGCAGCAGCAGCGTTTCTCGATGTTAGAGAAAGAGGAGGACGAAGACCCGTTGACGTTGGTTACTTAGGCCGATGTTCGAAAGTTTTGGTTCCGGGTCTGCGAGAGGGTCTCTGTCCAGCGATGGTGTTGCGGACCGTCGCTCTAAGTGTGCCGTGATTCGAGCACGGCATCGTCGGGATATTCTCTAGAAGAGAATAATTCGAATTATGTGCAATGCGGAGTTCAACGCTCACACGTTACAACTTTTCAAAAACCTTCATATAGTTCTAATTCCAGAGCATTATAATTCTACACTTCTTCTTACATATCAAACGTCTGTAAGGCAAAATCAACTTGTTTTTCTATCCATCGCCAATATGAGGCGGAGAGTGCCTGCTTATGCAGGCCGTTGTGTTGACACATGGTCAACGCCTCGCTCGAGAACAGGCTGCGGCCCCCAGATGTTGCAGTACTCGTTGCCTAATGTTATAAACAAAACACATAGACTGGGCACGGATTTGATGAGTTTGAGCAGAAAGGATGTTCGCTCATTGTTTCTCTAGTGTTATTTGTGCCTATTCTTGATGGGACCTCCTACCTGCAAGGAATGTTCGTAATGTACGTCAGATGTTTTTTTGTTTTTTTTTTTCTGTTTAATGCTGTGTGTTTTGATCCCATGTAAACCTTGTTCTACGGGTCACTATAGTATGTAAAATAGTTTCTCTCGTTGCTGGTGGGGAGAAGAAACTCTGTCAAGCGACAACAGTCTGCTTGTTTTTCTTTCTCCCCGTCTTTTTTGGAGAGAGAAACAATAAAGTTGACGTTTAAGTTGAAGCTACTTTTGTTTCTACCTTTTATCTCGAATGAGGCTTCAATCTGTGTCGCCTGCGTCTGTTTTCTTTTTAATCTTTCTCTAGTCGGTGATAGGTTGAGAGTTTAAAGGAAACTTCCCGCACCCCTTTCCACTTTAGCAGAACGACCACTGGAGAGGAGGTCGTCTACTTTCCAGCATTCGTTCCACTAAAGTCGAAAGGGGTGAGAGGAGCTTCCCCTTTAACCTGTCACCGACTATCGTATCAACGCTTTGCCATCACGTCTCTGTCGATACAGCTGGAGGAGGAAGCAAAGACTGAAAAGGTTTTCTGGAATAAAAATGCAGGGCGAATAGTAGAAAACACCAAACATTAAGTTATTCGGGCAGCATGTGAATTTTAAATACATCCAAGGATGACATGAGTATTAATGTCACAAAGAGGTCGGCGGAGTGATACAGAGAAATGAATCAAAATTGCATGGGCGCCTAAGAAACCAATATAACGTATTAAATATTGGGTGCTCTCTGTCCATGAACGAAAAAGTACAGCCGGATGAAGCAACAGGTAGAGCGACGATTATCGCGCTGCTAGTAAGCAAATTAAGGCTCGCGTATTCTGTGATAAGATAAGAAACAAGTAATATAAAAGTGACTCGTAACATATGTTTAATATTGAAGCATGCGCTATTTTTTATTGTTTAATGTGTTTGTCCGAGAAACCACGCACACGCAGCGTATCTTGGAAGGAGTACATGATACAGCCGTAAAGACTAACGCATTTAGAACGCCTAGCAAAATTCGAATTTCAAACGTAGATATGTGACATGGGGCCCACGGACGTAGTTTTGCAAGAGGTTTTATGTCTAATCTTTTCAGAGCTCAATCCTGAAGTAGTGAAGTATTCAAAATAAAGCAAAATCTGCCGCCGTGTATTTCCTATGTCCGCCTGAACGCCAAAACGCTAAAAACCAATGGCAGAGGATGGCGATAAGCAAGATAATTGTGATAATTAATACTTTAAACGAAATCTATGAACTATGACTACCTGAGAGCAAGCTGGGAAACCAGTGTACAGACGGAGAACATACGGTATAGGGCATAGGAAATCCACGGCCTCCGTTTTGGCCTTATTTTTAATATTTTCTAAAAGAAAAAAATAGAAATAAAAATTTTGGCGAAACTACGTTCGTGTGGCCAATTTCGAGTATGTACGTTAGGAGTTTGAATTTTGCAAAGTGTTCCAAATGTGATAGTCCTTATGGTCGCACCCTGTATACAGAGAGGTTTGTGCACCTGTTCCACTTTTCGTCTTTTGCGGAGGATATATTCATATTAAAATATGAATATAAAATAGAGCGCAGACGCAAATAACAAAAACATACCCCCAGAACGTGTTCTAGGAATTGTCAAACATTATTGCCTCTTTACAATACTTGACACATACATTGCCGATTTCTAAGTGAGGTTACTTCAACCCTAACTTCAGTTTACATTTCCGCTCTATCGCCTTGCTTGATTCAGAAGAAGGGGTATACCTGTCGTAGAAGAGCGTCCTTGACCTCCGTGACCCAGGGTTTCTGGGAATGCTGTCCAAACCCGTGAATCAAAATCACGAGGTCTTTGGGTGTCGCAAACTGCTTGAGCAGACGAAACCCAGACACTGTTCTGTAGTCAAGCAACTGTGGGCAGCCCAGGTTGATTCGGGAGTAAAGCCAGAAAAGAGTGTTGATAAACTCTGGCGCATCCGGAAGCCCTATTGGGTGCACAAGCTTGGTACTTCGTCTGAAGCAACCCAGGCCCGGATAGCAGACAGTGTCGTTTTGACGTTTGGACACTATCCAGTTCAATTCCTAGAACGAATGAAAAAGAGCACGCGATGCGGTGAATCCGATCTCGACATATGAGCCTGTCTATTCATGCGAGCAAGAAAGTTCGAGCGGAACACTGAATTTTGATAAGAAAGTTTGTCCTGCATGCACACACAGATTCCAGCAGACCAGACTCCGTTTTCACATCAACATCAAGTCCGACCACTTGTCAACGCCACAATTCGATGGATCAATCGAGCAGCGCCAAAAGTGCATCGTCATGGCGATCGTCGTCTTTAAAAGTTTGCTATCAATCACGCACAAAAAACAAACAAAATAACGTAAGATTAAACTGCGTTCATTGTGCATCATTGGTTTAGTTGGTAAAAGCGAACGCGCAAAAGACTACAGTTCCACGAAGAGACTTCTGACGGCGCTGCCTGACAGTTAAAAACTCGGTTGATAAACAGGTTTGCCTGAGGCTCGCGGAAGCACGGTGACTAATCAGTTTCTCCTGTGAAAATATAAGCATTTGAGGTTTAATTACTAGGAAGCTTAGTAGTTGTAGAAAACAAACAATAGCTCTTGTGATCCGTCATCGAAGAAAATGATACAATCTTCACACTAAAACAATCATTACACGTGGCACACTACTACTTTAGAATTTTTATGTTCTAATAGTTTTGTATGATCATTAAATTTACATCACAAAATAAAAAGAGTCCGTGATTTTTATTGCGTGTGAAATGACGCACCTCGAGGAATAAATTTTTAACATTGTAGTCCGCAAACGAAGTGCCAGAAGCCAGCAATACATCCAGAGGTACTCGAGAAGAGTTTTCCCACATTTCATTTGCCAGGTGCACGTTCGCAAACTGTAAGCAAATTGAAATAAAAAAAAAAAATCGTTTTAGAGTGTGCGTAGCAGCGACAAACACTTCCTCCCAGAACATCGAGTTCAGGGCTGCAGAGACATCTGAATCGGCCCACACGGAGACCGACTTTCATCAACGTTACCTTGAAAATATATGATGCATGTCATTTTCTTTCATTTTATAGGTACTGCATGTGCAGAGTAAAACACTGTCCCGTAAACAAGCGGTCCTCCAGAATATTACTCCTTTTTCAAAGAAATAGCGTCAATAAAATATGCCATTCTGTTTTTCTTTTTCTAGATTCCCCGATTTCAGAATGTATCTCTACAAAACAAAATTATAAGTAACCGGTGATAGCGGGGAAAAAAAACGATTGAATGATATATACTTGAAAGATTGCTCTTGCGACATATTGATAACCTACTACATCAAAGAAGCGAAACCAAATTTAATATTTCAAAACAGCGTGAAATCCGAATTTCTTCGAGCTGACTACCAGAGAATTTCAAGTTCCCTTATTGTCGTATATTTTGTCTGCCTGATATTATACTATAGGCGAAGGGGGAACGCACGTAGAGGCCAAATCAACCATCAATAGTCTTTGTAACTAAACAGCACACATGTGGAAGAAGTCAAACTGTACACGAAAACACTATGTAGACTTCAGAAATGTACCTTGACGGCCTCGCTGGCTAGAAATTTGCTTTGCGCGAGGTCCATCCGACGTGCTCTTTTGTGAGTCGTCCGCCCAGTATTCGAGATCATTCTGTGAGCTCCAACCAGGCTTTGGTCGCCATGCGCCTCTGAAGACAACACCAGGAGGCAACCCACCAAAGTCGCCACTGCAAAGCACGTCGGAAATCAATATTGCCGAGTCACGTGGCGTTTTAATGGGGTGTCCGTCATGCACGTACCAGCCCATTACACTCTTTGAATTGTTCGGAGCTTTATTAGATCGTTTCTGCAGGCGCGGATTGATACTGAGAGCCTGCTCCATTACACTGCAGCAGGAATTTTATCTCACTGGAAAATCTAGGTTTCACTGTCCAACAAAGCCAGGACTTCTTGTGATTCCTCTGTGACTGGCCACAATTTAAAAGCTGTTAATAAATCAATTAGATTTTTTCGTACTAATTGAGTGGAACATAGTTACAGTTGCGCACACACGGACAAGGACAGAGAAGAGGAACACGTAGACGACAGACAAGCGCACACTCACAACTCATGTATTAACGAAAGAGGAAAAGAAAGTGGTACAAACGCGGAATCAACTCGAGCGTTGGTTACACAGGCACGAGGGACCACAGGCCCGAGGGCTCGAGGGGGACACGTAAAATTACCCACACGAAAGAGATTTTAAGAAGGCAATTTCCTCCTCTGTTAATGAAACAGACGGAAAGCTAACACATCGCTCGCCCATGCTTAGGATAATGAAAGCTTCAAAAATCTCTCTGGTATGTTTTTCTCGATATCTGCCTATTATCTTGGTTTTTTCTAAGGATGGCGTACAATTACAGTATTTACAGTGCAGGGGTAGATGACCCCCCACCGTAGACTTTAGAGAGAGATTGTGCTCTCGTAGGCCGGTCGTTCACACACCGTCCGGTTTGTCCAACGTAGCTTTTACCACATGAAAGGGGGATACAGTCATGTCTCGTTAATATGGACCCCGTTAATCGGGACACCCCGCAATATGGACGAAATTTTCGGCGACCGGTCTCCCGCCATGCAATTCTTACCCGCAGTCCGGACTATGGACGGCTATTTTGGGGACGAAACGGGAAAATACAGGCATTTTTGTCTCGTTAATATGGACACGTGTCCACGAAAAAAAAATATTAGTGACCCCAGTGTGTACTACTCGGAATTCACCATTGCCTTTTTGTTCCCCGCCTGGTTACTTTGAAGGCGAGTCCACATACCCGACAGAAGAAAAGGTTAGTGAATCGTAGAGGTCACAGTTTGTACCCGGAATTCACTATTGTCCTCCGCCCTTGAGATAAGAACTGCGCGCCTGAAGGTGGTCGTTTTTTTTTTTCTTTTTTTTTGTTTCTTGTCTTTCAAGCTTAAACGTATGCCATCTCCTTCCGGGTTGGCATACGTGATGAATCACATTCGTTGTGCATAAGAGGCAAGAGGCAAGGCTGGACGCTTCTCCGGTCATTTCGGAGGTGGAGACGATGACAGGTGTTAAGCGTAAACGGACAGAGCTTTCTGCTCAGCTGAAAAAGGAGATATGCAAATTCAAAATTGAAACGCCTTCAGCGTCTGTTCAGTACGTGAAAGAGTGGAGTGGAAAAAACCTTGGCGTTGATCTCGGAAAATCGACAGTCCACGCAATTCTAAAAGAATCAAAGAAATGGATGAGCGTTCCCACAGCCAGCTCCAGTTCCTGCCGGCGGCGACCCCCAAAGTTTGAGAAGTTGGAGGAGGCCGTCAACATCTGGTTTGCGGAAATGCGCTCCAGAGGGGCCGCCGTCAGCGACGAGATGCTGCAAGAAAAGGCGAAGGAGTTCGGCACAACGATGGGTAAGTCAGTTCTGAGCGTATCTTTTTAAGCACTGAGTTTGAAAATGTTTTCTCAAAATGTTACGCGTTCCTCCCCAAAAATGTTGTTTCTTCTAATGATTTTTCTAGTTGCTCGTTCTTGTGCAATTACGCATCTACGTTAAAATAACTGTTCTCTCTTCAGTGGTTTTATTTTAATGTCTGCAATCTTCACGTCTTTATGCAGACATTCATGACCTGAACTACTCAAGGGGTTGGCTCAGCAGGTTTAAGAGAAGGCATGGAATTTCAAGCCACCGTATTCATGGAGAGAGTGGAAGCGTGGATACAGCCGCCGTTGCCAGTGCTCGGAAACAGCTTGCGGAATTTCTTGCTCAGTATTCTCCAGATGATATTTACAACTTCGACGAGACTGGCTTTTTTTACAAGTTGGGCCCATCTTCGACTCTGGCATCCAAACCTGTGGCTGGAAACAAGCGAAGCAAAGAGAGAATCACGGTGGGATTTTTGTGCAACGCAAGCGGCACCCACAAGTGGAAGCCCATTGTCGTGGCAAAATCGGAGCGACCACGATGTTTTGGAAAGACATTTGACCCGAACATGTATTGCTCTTACAATTGCAACAAGAAAGCATGGATGACAGGAAAGATATTTGAAATCTTCTTGGCGAAATTCGACCGCTTCTTGAAGGCTGAGAAGAGGAGGGCTGTTTTGTTGGTTGATAACGCATCATGTCATTCTGTTCGTGCGGACTATGAAAACCTTACCTTGAAGTTCTTTCCACCCAACATGACTGCCAAAATACAGCCCTTGGACGCAGGAATTATTTGCGCGGTTAAGGCACACTACAGAGGTGAACTTGTGCGGCACTACATCGCTTGCGCGGAAGACAACGAACCGCAAACTGTTGACTTGAGGTGGTGCCTTCAAAAGCTGAAGAGGGCGTGGGACGCGGTGAGGCCTCAAACCATTGTAAACTGCTGGCGTCACGCAGGTATTCTTGTTAACAGCTCTGCTATGGAGGTGGAGGATCCGATGGATGAACTTCCGCTCGCGGCCCTTCGTGAAGCTCTTCGACAACTCGGGGAGAAAAACCCAGATGAAGAGGCATCGGCATTCTTGGATATAGACGAAGAGACTAACAGCTGGGAGCCTATGAGCGACGAGCAGATCATGGAGCTTGTCGGTGAATCCGCTCAACAGGGCCATCAACTTGTCGAAAACTTTGCGCCGACAGAAACAGACGATGAAGAAGAGAGACCAACCGTTACTCGATGTGAAGCTCGCCGTGGCTTGGAGACAGCAATCGCCTACCTTGAGCAGGAGGGGGACGGAGAACGTGCACTTCAAGTGGCCGAAGTGTTGCGCTTTTTGGACACTAAAGTGGGATCGAAAGCGTCAGTGCAAACTCATATCTCCTCGTTCTTTGCGAAATAAACAATGCTTTTTTTTTAACAATTATTACCTCCTAATGTTTGTGTTTTTGACCTTGATTCGTTATTATGGGCGATTCACATTATGGACGATTTTTCTGGGGAACGGAGGCGTCCATATTAACGAGACATGACTGTACTATATACTACACTCAGGGAGCAGGGCACATAAAAGTGGAAGTGGTTCTTGTGGCACATATGTTTTTTAAATCGTTTACCTTAGCATAAACTTTTTGACAAATTTGAGCCATTTTTTGGGGGGGCTGGCATCACTAAAGGGACCCCGTATAACGGCTAGCCACCTTTTTAAGATTGTGGGAAATTATACATATACGAGACGACCACAATTCTTTTTTTGTCAAAAGTGGGCTTAGGCTTTTGAGCTCCCTTCACTCTCTTGACCGCTCACTCCCTTCACTCTCTTGTACGCCATCCTTAGCAAAAACCAAGATAATAGGCAGGTATCGAGAAAAACACACCAGAGAGATTTTTGAAGCTTTCATTATCCTAAGCATGGGCGAGCGATGTGTTAGCTTTCCGTCTGTTTCATTAACAGAGGAGGAAATTGCCTTCTTACAATCTTTTTCGTGTGGGTAATTTTACGTGTCCCCCTCGAGCCCTAGGGCCTGTGGTCCCCCGTGCCTGTGTAACCAACGCTCGAGCGGATTCCGCGTTCTGTACCACTTTCTTCTCCTCTTTCGTTAATACATGAGTTGTGAGTGTGCGCTTGTCTGTTGTCTACGTGTTCCTCTTCTCTGTCCTTGTCCCTGTGTGCGCAACGGTAACTATGTTCAATAACTACCAACTCGCCCAAATGTCTACACTACTACAGTTTATTAATTGAGTAGACTTAACTTTCGTGGAATTTAGTAAATTATTTTTTTTAAATCGCTGTATATTTTTTATTGTAGCTGCTGCCGGAAATCTTTGGAATAGTAGCGGCTGCACCGGGCGACTTCGGGATATGAGTCTTTGATAAAACGTAGCTGCAGTATGCTGTTGTTTTAGTGATTGAGGTTGCTCAGCCTCTTGAAAATATCAGGATAATAAAATATTGACACCTCAACTGAATTCTTTCCATTTTGTTTCTTATTAGAGATAATTTTCATACAAAATTCAGGTAAACCATGGTAAACCTGTAACGAGGCATGAGCGTATACCGTCTGCGTGATGCGCATAGACGTAGACTACGGAAGGGGGCATCGGAGCTCGTCTGTTGAGATCCGGGGGGAAGCGAAGGCAGAGACCCCCCCCCCCCTTGGGCCATGATCCTTACCGAGACGCTGTTAACGTGCCATGTAACGAGCTTCTAGTAGTGGCATGTAAACAAAATAACGCACACAGCGACGGACACATGGAGATATACATACGCTGTAAAATGTACCCAAATAAACTACTGATAATTGCCGTTGTAAATAAAAACTCCGCAGAAAAGACCCCCCCCCCCCCCCCCCCCCCCCAGAGAACCTCTCAGCCAGCCCCCCCCCCCCGGGGAGATGGAAAGTCTACGCCCACTGGTGATGCGTATACTAAGTATGAATGCTTCAACGCTTCGTATACTCACGAAAAGTGCAGACGAATGTGTCGGTGACAACGCCGGGTTGTGTCTTCATATCCTTCTGCATAAAGCGGGAAGTGAAGGCGGAATGGAGACGTGTACATTCAATGGTCCCCCTGCTCAATGATCAATCAGTTTCGCTGTTCCAGTTCGACAAACTACAAGCTATAGGGGGTATTCACTTGACGCCATATTTGAGGGCGATGTTTAGAGCGAATGCTCAGAACGAGCTCACGTTACTAAGCTGCTAGACATGTAATCTTGATGGTGTGGAATGCGCGCTAAGCAAAAGAACTGTGGAAGCTCGTCGTCAGCACGAGCTCAGCAGTCGCGCACATGGCTATGGGGCCACATGAACTGCCGCTTGCGTCCCAAGTGACTTCAGGTCGCTCCGTCTTTGCAAACCTGTCGAGCTTGCTTACGTCACCAGTGCTAGAAACCATAAATGTTACACGAATAACAAAATGAAAGATTTAACGAGGGTTTTCGGCTGTACAATTTAACGATCTTGGAGGAGGCAAGTTGGTTTACAAGAATATTGTAAAAAAAATTAACAAATCTCTCGCTTCCTCGTTCTTTTGGCGTTCACCTGGAGAATTGGTGGTTAAACGTTTCATTAACATTTCAAGCAGCGGTGTCAAGGTAGGCTTTGTTCATTCTTTTTATGAACCGGAAGTACTCCTGGACGTCAAAGACTGGGGCATTGCCTTGTGGCGTTTGCCATTGAAAGGGTCTTATACTCAAGAAACGAGGTGCTTCTGAAGTGAAGAAAGAAGTAAAGCGAGGCAGTAAAGAAGACGATGAAACACAACTCTCCTCGCGTTCTTTTCGTTTGCATTCCCGTAAGAAAATGTCAGATCGAGGCGAGTTCTCCGCCAAACTCGCCGACCGCCGCGATTGGTCGGCGCCGTGCATGACGACACGCGCCGACACTCCCTAGATCGTGACGTCAGAACGGAGGGTTTGAGGCAGTCGGAGAGTTGCATATTCGGAACTCGCGGCGAGATGCGGTGACGTCATTGTGACGTGGCAGAAGCCGCCGCGGATGGCAAAAGCTTGCCGGCTCCGACCTAGGCGAGTTTGGGCGAGTTGGGCGCGAGATCAGGGAGAAGCGTCCAAAATGGCAGCGTTTTCGTTCGTGTTTTGCCGTCGGCATAGGTATTTAAACCACGCCAATGTGTTTGACATGGACGACGTTCATTTTCAACAACACTATCGCCTCTCGAAAGACGTGGTAAGGTGGCTGTGCGATGAACTGCGTGGCGAACCGGGCTTGAGGCGATGGAGCCGTGAATGAACCGTCACCCCCGTCGTGAATCCTACATCCAAATTCTACAAAGTGAATCCTAGAAACAAATGTGTTTTTACGGCAATCTGCAACCAGGAACGCAATTTACCATTACCTACAGGCTTTTACAATTATTTTGATGGGTTGCTGTGCTGCGTAGATGCAAGATAAACGCACTTGATAAAATTCAAACTAAAACAGATGATAGAAGAAAAGCAATATACATGAATGGCGCAGACTAACAACTGTGTAATTTCTTTCTCTTCTTTCTTCTTCCACACCGTATTTTGACAAACAAATGGGCCGTTAGCTGTTTATACAGCAGGAGAACATGCCAGAACATTGCGACATTGTCACCTACTGTAGATAAGCAATTTAGCCAGTGCAGTATGACTGCTAGCCTAGGGTCTTTAACGTGCACCACGTAGTAGTGATATACGACCGCATGCCGGTACGATGCTCATCAACATCGAAAAGGGCAGGGGTGGGGGTGAATCCACGATCCTGGGTTCTGCAGCGCGAGCTTTCGCTCCACGCGCACCCTATTCTGAAAAAAAAAAAAAAAAAAATATTGTGGCTGTGTGGCGGTGTGGGGGGAGAAAGATGAGAAAGAAATTACCCAGTTGTTAGTCTGCGCCATTCCTGTATGTTGTTTTTCGTCTATACTCTGCTTTAGTTTATATATTTATCAAGAGCGTTTTTCTTGCATCTACGTGGCGCAGCAAACCATCACAATGTCTAGTCAACTAGCCCAGATCCAAGCAATGTTTGTATAATTAGCATCCCTGCTGTTACCTATTCTTATTTGTCATTTACGATTTAAATAAAAAATATTGGGCTGTACGTATGTTGATACTGCCTAAAACTTGGTCTGCCTCAACGGGAAAGATTCTCCCAGCTGTAGATGAGAAATATAGCCATGCAGTGCCGTACAACCGCTAGCCTGGGGTCTTTAACGTCCATCCCGCAGTAGTGTTACACGACTGCACGCCGGTACGATGCTCATCAACATCGAAACGGGCAGGGGTGGGGATCGAACCCAGCATCCTGGGTTCTGCAAAGGACCTTTCGCTCGACGTGCTCCGAGCTGGCGTGCGCTAGCCCAGCCGGCCACCGATCCCCCGATTTAAATAAAATAAAAACCCTTCACTGCAGAGCGTAGGGAAAAATCGGAGCTACGCTGGGGAACTCGCCGCCGCCGGGGGGGTCGGAAATGTAAGAGGGGGAGTGGGAAACTCGCCGGGGCGGAGTCAAAAGAAGCTCCTCCCCTCCCTCGTGACGTGGCATCGGAGAGATTCCCGCCGGAGGCGAGCTTAGCCCCCTTGTGGACAGTTCAGATCCGCGCGGATCCGATCTCGTACCGCGCGGTTCTGGTTGCAACCAGTCGGATCCAGTGAGACGCAACGCACTGGAATCGCACGGTGACGGGTGGATCCGATCCGTTCCTGTTGGTTCCAGTAGGGTTTGCTCCCAGTCAGCGGGCGCGCACATACGTGACTGGAGAAGGAAGGGGGAGGGGGGGGGGGTCGGCGAAGAACTCCCGTTCTTTCCCCCGCGGTCTCTCGCAGGTCACGTGTTAGGGACAGGCGCATCCGCTACGTAGGCGCTGCGAGCGGGCGTTCTCCGCGCCCGCGCCTCGCTTTGTCTGTCTCAGTCGGCGGCAGCGCTCCGAGAGTTTCGCTTCTTCTCCGCTCTCGTCGAACTGTCGGCCGGCGCTCGCCCGGCGGCGACGTTCGCGCTGCGGGCGCACGGATACTGACGTGCCCATCGTTTGCCCTGGATGGATACCCCTGACCTCGGCTTTGAATCTTTATATAGCATGAAGCTGCCGACCCATTGCACTTTGGCTCGGCGTCTGGGTACGCTTGGCGCTGGTGTGCTCGGTGACAACACTTGGACATCTCGGATACCGCTTACCCGCCGGAACTTCCCGATGCGCTCAACACTTGATACTGTGCTTGTGCGTGCTGTGTGCGTGTTCTGTGCACCGTGTTTGGTGACGACGCCTGGACGACCGTGTGCGCCGCCGATTTCAGATCCAGGCTGTTCCGCCTGGGTCTGAAATCGCGACGATTTCTCGCTTGTAACGGCTAAGGGCATCGCGCGAAGTACTTTTGTAGAGTCCAGTGGTGAGCGCAGCGGGAATTCTGGCGGCGCACCACCTGGGTCTGAAATCGGGGCACCAGTTTGTATCCCGTCTGGAACTGCGCGGTTCGAGGCGGGATACGAAGTGGTGCCCCAGTTTCAGATCCAGGCAGAACCGGCATTTTTCTTTCCGGCCTAGCCGTATCTGACATTTTCATACGGGTTCTGAAAGGCCACATTTGGCAACAAAAATGGGATTCGTCTTCACTGGCTTTACAGCGCAAAATGAGCCACGCAGCGCAGCCTCAGTGCGCATGCACCGCTCCCTTCTTCCACTGAACGGCCTGGAAGACCCTCGGTTCCATGGGACCAATGGTGACGCATGTTCGAAAATTATCTTTACTGTGTCGATGAAATTTCCCTTATTGCTGTTATATGATTTAGTAACCGAAGGCCTTCATGTTGCCTGAAGTCCCTACTGCCTCCACTACTACACTCATTGCCGCAGCAGCGTTCACGTCAAGGTATGCTACGAGAACAGACGTGTACCAAGATGAGCGTTTTAGAGCGAAGCTGTATATGACTTGTTGGTCGGATTTTGTCGTGTCGGCGTCCTCACGGAAAAAAAAAAGCCCTTGGGCGATTAAGCGAAAATGCACATATCATGCATACAACATACAGCACAGCATTAGTTTCAATAAAGAACAAGCACAAAACAAGCATCTGAACCAGATAATTTATAATAAGGCTCTCCTGATAGCAATAGGAAGCAGCGCTCACCGCATACGTTTCCCGGTAAAGATTAGTGTTGCGCGCACTGCCGTGGAGACGGCAGCTTGCGACGTGGGGAGTGATGTCACTAGCCTTTCATATATAAAAAAACCAGCCTATACTCCGTTTTACCTTACGTCCGGACTCAGCGGACGCTACGACCTATCCTATAGCCAATCCTGTTCTGTGGACGTAGCCCGTGATACGCTTTCCGCACGTCGCTGTGCCCCCGGTACAGTGACACTCACACGGCCTTGGATTGGCTCCGATGGCTCGTAACATCCGCTGCGCTTGAACGTAAGGTGAAACGGAATATACCAACCGATGTCATTGTTGTTGCAGGCCACGGATAGTTAGGATCTCCCGGGGAGCAGCATGAATACGAGGAGCGGCAAAGGGAAACAAACGGCAGTACGACCAGCGGCGGCGTGCTGCGACCAGCGGCGGCATTTGGTATATTGCAGTGGGCAATCGTTGCAGGTGATAGCACAGTTTCGCTGGCCAACCACCTTCACAGCGCGGACTGGAGCCCTAAATTTTTTTAGGAACAAATTAGTGTTTGGTGGCATAACAAATATTAGGTCAACAAAACAGATATGGGCAACGTTTAACCTAAGATATCATCTCCTTGCAGAACCCCTCCCCCTTCCCCCCCCCCCCCCCCCCCCCCCCCCGTTCTCCCCAAGTCTAATTCATAAATCCGCTCCTGCTTGTGAGCTGCAAGAGAGGTTTTGGACGGCGTCATCACAGATGCGCTTTTCCGACTGCCATTATCTACTGAGCCGCCCGACACATTGATTCAGTACTTCAGAAAGTGAAGCACTTCGTTGCTACGACGTGTCCCTCAAGGAGCAAAGCTAGGTACCAACTTCTTACCATGCCATCAAGTGAGATCAGAGACGTCAGAGGTCGATGGATTACTTGTAAGTGGAGAACGGATTGTAGTTCTTCCTTCAATGACTTCTAAGATCATC